TGCACATTTTCCGTGTAAAGATTGCACATTTCTCAAGCTGCAAGAGCAAGGCTTTGACCTACACCAGTACCTCTTGTCTCTTCCACCACTGCTTTATTGTTTTTTTTTTAATATCTTTCAAAGTCCACAGTTTTGGAATGAACTTGCTAGAAAGGATGAGCTGCATTGCAATGCAATCCCACAGCAGCATCAGGGCCTCTCAAGATGCCCAAGGCTTTGCAATAATTATCAGTAATTATTGAGCCACCATAACTTTTTGTCTGTCAAACTCTAAATGGGCTTTAATGGTTTAAAAATACACTGCACCTGGAATGTAGCTTGTTATAAAAGCAGCTTATTTTCTTGCAGTTCTGTGACCTCTTTTACAATCATGCCTTGCTAGTGATGGAAAAACTGAAATTATAAATTTTTGGTGGAGTGAATTTGAGCTGTTTGACCAAATCCAGCAGGAAGAAAAATGTAAATTATACTAAGCAAAGTAAATCTGGATTTTTGTTTTCATCATCTGTCATATTTTAGTAATGTGGGTGCAGGCTGCTTCATTTAAAGCATAATTTATGTGCATATCTCTGTGTGTACAGTGAGTGCATGGCACATTGTGTGGTGTATAACACTGCAGGCTGTTGCACAGGGAGGTGAATTGAGGACAGACTTGCCTGCAGCTCGCTGGCAGTCCCTCTCTGAGGGGACTGGGCCACGTCCTGCCAGCCCTCTGCTGCTGAGCTGTTCCCTGTCTGGAGATGCCATTAGCATTGCTGCTCTTTTTCCCCATCACTCCCAACTTTTCTCCTGTGGCCAAAGAGGAAGTAGCAGAAATGGTAGCTGAGCCTGAGAGAACCAATCCCTCCTTTACTTTCTCTGGTTAAGTAGGCTGGAATGTCTTCTCTCTTGCTTTTTTCCATTTCTGGGAAAGCCATTAAAGCCCATCCCTCTGCTCTCCTCAGCTGTGTTTCTGACGATTCCGTGAAGCAGTACACGTCAAAGGACCATCTTGCCAAGCACTTCCAGGTTCCTGTGTTCAAGTTTGTGGGCAAAGACAACAAGGTAAGCTCAAAACTCAGCTCTTAGATATTTCATCAGCTCTGATATGACTGAGGACCCTCAGCACAAAGTTGGAAAAGGGTATGGAGTGGGTGGCCCAAGGCAGCTGCTGCTGTGCCTGTTCCAGCAGTTGTACCTGACAAAGGTACTTCAGGAGAAATTGTTAAAGATCGTTAAAAACAACTAAAATTAAAATATGAAGGACAGTTTTGAAACATCAAGCCACCACAGGCTAAAATCATTGCTGCTTCCATGGTGGTCTTGGTGGCCCCTTGATTGCTGGGTGAGACAAATATTTTCAGTCACCAGGCACATTTCACAGTCCCCTGTCTTTAAAACAACACAGTTTTAGTTTGGAATCTCTTCAGCCTTGTGTCTTCTCTAGCTCTTGGGGGTACAGATGCCAGCACTCCAGACCGACGGCCACCACACTGCTTAACTCAGTGTGAAACCAGGCTGTCTCTCTGGGGCAGCAGCTCTGTAGTGGGAACACAGTGGAAGGATAATGCCCTTCTCCTAATGCAAATAGCTTTCCTTTCTGTGTTGGAGGAAATTGGATCTTCCAGTCATTGTTATGCTCAGCCAATACTGCCTGCTCCAAAAGGGATAAAGCTGCTGCTCCAGCTATTGGAGAGCCCCAGTAAGGTTAAAACAGATGAGATCTTCTAAAATTCAGAAATTTTCCTTGGCTTTCTGATTATCCCTGCTGCCTCCAACCTGCATCCTCCCATCCTGCACAATAGATTCTGCTTCAAGCCTCTGCAGGTCTTTGTAGCTGCTGCTTGCAGGGATCTTGCTTGCTTTCCTGGTCATTGCAGGGGTTGCAATCCTGTCCCTGCCTGTGCTGTGCAAGGAGAAAAGGCAGCTGCCTCCTTGCCCTTTGCATTCATCCTCTTCCCTCAACTTAGCCCCTTATCACCCTGCATTTTCCTCCTTTTTCCCCTTGGTTTCCTGGCTTTGTTTTCCAGCTCACTTAAAATTCTTCTGCCCATCTCCATCAATCCTTGCGAGGCTTCACGCATTCTTGACACACAGCTCCTACCAGTCCATGTGAGCTCTTCCAAGCTGACTCCTGCCATTTTCATCCCTTCACCTGGAGGATCATTTCCCACCTTCTATCCCTTGCCTCCCCACTGTTGCCTCTGAGACCTGAGCCAGGCTCTCTGGAGTGGGCACACAAGGAGAGAGACAGCTGTGGGCGGTGAGGCTGGGCACGGACCCTGTGCCAGGGCCATGCTGTGGCACACAGGCAGCAGTGGCAGTGGTGCCCAGGGCTGTGTCCTGACCCTGTGCTGTGTCCCCCTCAGGAGGTGTTCCTGCACTGCCGCATCCTGGTGTGCGGGGCGCTGGACGAGAGCTCGCGCTGCGCCCAGGGCTGCCGCAGACGCGTGCGCAGGGCGGCCGGGCAGCGCGAGGAGCAGCAGGGCCTGGAGCCTGTTCCCGGGGCAAACCACATCCTGACAGGAGGCCCCATCAGGATCGACTTTGAGGACTGACAGCCACCCTCTGGAACAGCATCCTTGGCTTTCCTTATCACTGCCTTCTGTTGTGGTTGGTTGAGAAGCCAGATGTATTTGTTAAAGCCCCGCTGGAACCCCAGGACTCATTTCCTTAACTCTGTGGTGATTATTTGTCAAGTGGTTTGGGCCCATAGGTGGCCCTTGGAGTGTGACCTGGACTGTAGAGCAGTTTGGTTTTATCTGCATTTCTCCCCACCAATCCTTTAGCTGAAGGGACCCTGTTTCTTCGCAGGCCGGAAGTGTTACCCAACTTTGCCTTTCCCTACATCCACCTACTGGCCCCAGGACTGTTTGTCCTTGACTAAACAAATGTTATCCATGCCCTTCTTGCATCAGACAGTACAAACAGCATCATAGCTGAGTGTGTTTGCTGTGCAGCTCTGTGAGTGATGCTGAAGATTTCAGGTGACTGTTAATAAAAACCTGTATAAAATACATCTCATCATGTGTAAGTTCCTTGGAGCAATGCAATTGTCATTACAGGCAGCTAAAGCTCAGATCTGTCGCAGGAACATTTAAATGGGATTTTAAATAGCAAAAGATATTTAATGAGATTTGATTTTTTTACGGCTTTTAATAGTTGTGTGAAGTTTAATAGTGTTTCCTCCTGTATTTAGTGTATCATCATTCTTCTCCCTCTTCTCCCACCACCAAAAATGCCTTTCCTAAGTGCTGTAGCACCTTGATTGTAAGAGAATCACCATTAAACATCTATAAACACCCCTCTCCCACATGTGCTGCTGCCAAGTGTGTGTCTGGAATTGTGATGCATTGCCCTGGTTAGTGAGGCCATGGTTCCAACAGAGGATTAGAGGAATGCACATTAATTTTTCATAGCAATCATTGGTGCTGTGGGCAGTTCTCAGGACAGGGCTGTCCCCAGTCAGCCTGGTGACAGGAGACACAGCAGCATTGTCTGAGTGGCCGTGGCAGGGGACACAATGACTGGTGATGGTGGTGGCATTGTGGTTGCCAGGAATCTTTTTGGGCTGTCAAGCTCCTTCTGAAGCAAATACAATGGATGTGATCAGCTCAGGCTCCTCTGGGCTTCACTGGGCTCTGTGGTAAAGGCTTGGGGTGTGGGGTGGAAGGGAGGAAGCACAGCCAGCAGTGAAGGGCACTGTGGGGCAGGCAGGGCTGGAGGATGAGGGGAAGGATCCGTCTGCACCGGTGGCAGTGGCTCTGCAGTGCATCCCCAAGGGTTCCTACAAGAAGCTCCTCAGTGTGCAGCTCTGTCCTGCGTGCTTGGAGCTCTGCTAGGAGCCCCCAGCCTTCATCAGCTGTGTTCTGCTTTGCTTGGAGCAGCCAAATTGCTGCAAAAGCCAAAATTTGCTGCTGCTCTCAAATGGAAGGGGAATCCATTTGAAGGGACCATTTAGAAAGGAGTCACAAATCACCTCAAACATTTCAACCTATTTCACAGATTTATTTGCTCTGACAAGTGGGATTCCAGTGAGGAATGAACTTTTAATGGCTGAGAGTTTAATAATTTTTTAAAATAGCTTCATGGCTGCTTTTCCAATCTTGGAAATACATGTGAGCATGTTAGAGTAAACAAAAATATCTCTATGATGATAAGTAGGTATAAATGGAAAGATACTCTGTGTGTTATCCAACTATATGTGAAAGAAAAAGAAAGGAAGAAGGCTTCTCCTAGGATTGCTGTTCTGCTGATTCACATCTGCATTAGGACCACAGGGGAAGTTTCCCACTGTCACTTCTTTGTTCAGGCAGCCTCTGCTAAATATATTTGTTTTGATAAAACAAGAGCTGGGAAATGAAATTAATTATCTGGTGCCTTCTGGAGAATGAACTGATCTTGTTTGTTTATATAGAAGAGATGTAGGGGGAGTGATGGAGGGAGAAGTTCCTTTCTTGGCTTATTTCAGTTGTTGTGCACATTATTTGGTTCTTCCTGATGAATTCACATGAAGCAGCTTTTCCACTCTGCAGCTGAAACCAATCCTACCGATGCACAAAGTCAAGAGGCAGCCACAGGATGGGCAAAGCAGAGTCTTTGTGTCCAGAGCAGGGTGGAATTGAAGATGACCCAAGGTTCATGCAGCAACCTGGAGAATGCTGTGATCCGCTGCTTCCATGGCTGTACATCACTGGATAGCAGGAGTGGCACGGAGGGGGAGCAGTTTTTAGTTTGGTTGCAGTTTTCCTGGGTTCGTGCTCTGGTTTGCTCCTGCACAGGATTATCTGCTGCTTTGCCAGAGTCACTGCCACCACTTGAAAGTTCAAATATTTCCTCGTAGAGCTGCTGGTGGAGTTTTTCAGATTAGCACAGTAAAAAATGAACCGATTCAGTGGCTGGCCTGCTTGCAGCAGTCTCTAGGGTTTTGGGATCAATGGTGGTCTGAAAGCAGGGAGAAATGATGATTTATGTTGGCAACATCTCCAGCACATCAGAGTCTGGCTTCAGAGATTTTGTTCAGAACTCTTTGATTTCTCCAGTGTTATGGCATCACCTGCTAGCAGTTGCTTGGCTTTAACCTGATATCACTTGAACTATAAGGTAATTTAAGATATTTGCCGTGCAGTCAGCTATTGAACGTAGACAATATAGATATTTTAACTTCTTTTTTGTCATTTAATCATAGGAGTAGGTTCACATTTAAACTGGCCACAGGCACTATTTCAACAGCAAAATACAAAGTTTGGGCAGTGTCTGGAATGAGGAATGTTTCCTTCCCATCCCTAGCCAAAAGTAGGTGTTTCTTAGCTGGATAATCAAGGTTGTCTGCCCGGCCTCATGCTCTGACAGAGCAGTGAACTTCAGCAATGCAGAATTCCCTCTCCAGTGGCATTAGCCCAGGTAGGAAAGGCTGTCGTTGCATCTGAGCAGTGTTGAGGTCCTCTGTGATTTAAACATCCCAGTACACCCCATGCAGTCACTTCCATTTTCCTGGTCTGGGTACCAGGGGGCTCTTTCTGTTCCGGCCCATTTGGGGCCAGCTGAACGTCTCCTTGCTGTTCACTGTAAGGCAAAGATGACTGGCAGGAACAGGAACAGGGCTTAAATAATTTATATCTCCATGCATACATTTTAAACCCATTTAAACTGGAAGAAAAGCAACCAAGACAGACTCTTTCCACTCTTGTTAAATCACCCTTTTGCAGCCTTAACTTCTCTGTGGCAGATGGAAGAACATAACCATAAATATGTTTGCAGGAGCCACTGAAATATTTACGTGGCATGGCACGCACACACCCAGCAGCAACTTCCTTCCAACAAGAAACCCAGCTGAAAGCTGCCTGCCAATGTTCTGTGGAGGCAAAATGCCATGCACCACTTTAAATTCTGGTTTTGCATGCAACAAAAGCTCCCCATAACAGATGGGGGCATTAACCACGTTTTAGAAGGAATGATGTCTGAGGCTGCTGATAGCAGCCCCACAGAGGTAGCACATAAGTCCTGTCACCTGACAGATAAGGCTCCAGAATTTGGAATATCTCATCCGTCCACTGTGAGCCTCCTGTTTTGCTTGTGCTAGAGATGGAGTTGAATTCCCAGCCATTTTGTGTGAAAAGGGATCCTGAGGGCAAAGCTTTGTTAAATGCTACAGGAGAAAAGTAATTAAATGTATGTGGATGACACTGGCAGAAGAAAAGTGGCTTCCTCTCCTGAGACTGGGGGAGAGGGCTGTGATTTCTCATCTGATAAATGCTGGGCTTTGGTCCTGAATATCAATTGGTACCACAAACACCTCAAGCCCTTCTCCTTAACTCATGCTTAAGAAATCTCCAGATGTCCTAAATCAGTTTAGGGTGCACCAAGTATTTAAATATTCAGGGTTGTCAGGGCGTGTAATGACAGGATGGAAAGTGGCAGGGATGGGTGTGAACAATGCACTGAAAGCAAATTACCCCTCTTCAGTCTGCCACCAGGGGTGCAAAAAAGTACATTGCATATCCATGCACTGGGAGTTTCACAGGGCTTGCAGAAACCTACTGCCTTGCACTGCAAATTGGAGAGTTACACGGCGGGGGGAGGTGATAGCAGGCATTCAAGGTAAGTCCTGTGTTCATAAGCAGCACTGCATCCTGCTTGCCTTGGAGAGAACTGGCATGGGATCCTGTGGGCTTGGGAAGGAGCAATGGGAGGGCTGCCCTCTGTCCATGGGCTGGCTCTGCCCTGCCCTGCCCTGCCCCGAGGCTGCTGTGGGTGCCTTGGCTTGGGTGCCCCTCCTGAGGGCTGACAGGAGTCTCTGTGCTGCAGAGGGGCTCTGGCAGCAGCTCAGGTGCCCGTCCCAAGGCTGACAGGAGTCTCTGTGCTGCAGAGGGGCTCTGGCAGCAGCTCAGGAGCCCATCCCAGGGCTGACAGGAGTCTCTGTGCTGCAGAGGGACTCACAGACACTGGCAGGCTGCTGCTGCTCACAGCTCATCACGCTCCTCCTCGCTGCAAATGCAGGCGCTCCTCTGGCTGTTCATGAAGGGCCGGCAGCCCAGGGTCCAGACTGCGTTGAACACCGTGTCTGCCATGGATTCACAGGCTGTGGAGAGGGACAGGGTGGCCAGGTAAGGACAGGCAACTCCCAGCACCCCAGCCCTGCACTGAGCTCTGTGGGGTTTGCCTTTGGAAGCATGGGCTGTTGTCTTTTCTCTCTGAGAACTGCATTTCATAAATCCTGAGGTTCCCTTCTCTCTTCTTATCAAGGCAGGGTGACTCCAATGTAGGGAATAATGTGTTCTAACTCCATTATTTAGAAAGCTGAACAATTGCTTTATTAAGCTATACTGTATTACACTAATACTATACTAAAACTATATTAAAGAAATACTATACTACAAAGATACTAAAGAAAAACTAAAGACAGTCACAACACATGTAGATCCAATTGGTCAAAAAATCAAAACAACCTTCACCAGTGTCTAATTAACAAATCACTTTAGGTAAACGATCTCCACAACACATTCCACACGTGCAAAACAACAAGAGCAGTAAATAGAGATAAGAATTTTTTTCTCTTCTTCTCTCTGTGCTTCTCACTGCCTTCTCCAGGAAAAATCCTTGGGAAAAACTGTGCCTGCTGCTCTCTGTGAAGAGAGCCATGGCCACATCTTCTCCCCAGGGTGGCACTCATTTCTCTCCCCCCTAAACCCCTCCTTTATTACCTCTTTCAGGCCCTGCTAGTTGATGGATCATCTGGGGCTCTGCAAACAGCACTGTTTACCAAACAGATTTCCCAGGAGACCTCCACATTACTCCTTCTCCTCTGAGTTTTGCCTACAGCCACTATTAACCAACCTGTCTGGGCTTTTTTGGGAGTTATGATGCCAGCTGCCAGCCAGCATGAAAAATCCAACAGCAGCTGGAACAGCTGACTGCCTGACTAGCCCCTCCTCATCCCAAAAAACAACCCTGAAAGGGCTTGTCAGTAAATAGATAGGTTAATAGTAAATCTTTAGGGTTTATTTACTGGCACCAGCACTGATAGCTGTATGCATGATGGAGTTGGGAAAGCCTGGCCTTTGGGACTGTTTTCTCTTATCTCAGCCTCTCCAAACCCCTCAGAGCTCCTGTTCCCTAGGAGGCTGCTCAGCTGGCAGGCACTGGAGAGGCTGTGGTGAGTCAGTGGGAAAAGCAAGGCTTTGGATGCCAGATAAGAGCTGGGATGGCTGTGGAGGAGGAGGGCGGTGGCAGGAACTCTCAGAGCAGCCCTGGGCACAGGGTCTGCAGAGCCCAAGGGGGGAAGGGTGGCTCAGAGGTTCACTGGTGTTGCCTGTGCCTCCTACAGCAGCCAGCACAGAGAGATGGAGGAATCTACTGCCTGGCTCAGCCCAGAGTGTGGGCTCTGCTCCACCTTCACTCCCCAGGATCTAGGCTTGCTTTGCTGCTGCAAGCAGAGAGCAAGAAGCACCATATGAAAAAGTGGAAAATCTGAAGAGATGGGAAGAAGTTGGCTTGCATGAGGAACTGTTGATAAGGATAACCATGAAAGATTGGCTGTGCTCAGCCTGTAGCACTTTTGTCTCAGTCCATGTCTTTGATTTCTCTTGCTGGCCTGGGCACACTTTCCATGCATTTTTTCTGTCACCAGGTAGGAAGCCATCTGCAGACATCTACTGCTGTCATGCAGGCTTCCCATGTGTCCTATTCAGGCTGCACCTTTGGACAACAAATGCATATTTAAGGATACCCTAGAGCAGGGCATCAGCAGAGGTTACCAAAAAAACTCTTCTCAGACCTGCAGGCTGAGGCTTTTTAAATTAGGGAATGCCAGGGTGGCACTTGAGCTGCTGGCACATCCCTAGAGCTTGTTAGCACTCCTGAGCCATCCAGAGCTGCCTGCAGTGGCTCAGCCACCCCCAGCCTGGTGTGTCCCTCGTGCCACCACCATCTCTTACCTGTGACCAGATCCCTGAGAGCCCTGTCCTTGGCTCTCTCTGTTTTGCTGGCCCTTGGCCACGTGCAGGTTTCAGTGTGTGCCTCACTGGCCCTGGAGGGCATTTTGGTATCCCATGAAGGTGTTTGAATTGTTTGGGAGTGCGTCCAAATAATTGGATAAGTTAGTGGAAGTGGAAACTCCACACTCGTAACTATCCTATATATCCTCTGAGCAGCCCTGGGAGGATAAATAGGACTCAACCAAACACAAATCCAAAAAAATCCTAGCCTTTTCTTCCATCTCCCACCTAGGCTGAATAGCAATCATTATCATCTACAACCCTAAACTCACTCTCCTCAGCCTCTACCTATACACTATAATAACTGCAGCCATTTTCCTCACCCTAAACACAATCAAAGTCCTAAAGCCATCGACCCTAATAACTGCATGGACCAAAATCCCATCACTGAACACAATACTACTCCTAACCCTACTCTCTCTCACAGCATTCCCTCTCCTGACAGGATTCCTGCCCATGTTTGAATTGTTTGGGAGTGCACCCAGTTACTTCCAGGGTTGTTTGTGGGTTTTTCACACATTGTAATGTTTTCTACGTGCAAATAACCATAGATCTCCAGCCTTGGGGCAGATCTCTGTGTTCTCACCCACCTGTGACAAGTGCAGCACAGAGATGCTGCTCCCCACTGCAGGGTTCTGGCAAGGAAAGGCTCCCTGGCCAGGGGATGAGGGGCAGGACCCTACCTTGCACCTTGGAGACGAAGCCCAGGCTGCGTTTGAGGTCGGAGCAGATGGAGTGCAGGCACCAGCGGAACTTGGCGTCGCAGCGGTACTTGTTGGCCCCACAGGTGTCATAGCAAACATCCAGCTGGTTACAGCACTTGGTCATGGCAGGGATGCCCAAGTCTAGCTGGGAAACAGAAAAGGGTGTCCCTTGGTTGGCTCCTGGCCTCAGGCGCACACAGCTGTGAGGGTGAGGTGCTGCAGAGCCCAGCTGGCTCCTGTTCCAGAAGCAGCAGGGCAGCAGGAGGGATGTGTGCTGCTCTCTCACCATCTGAAGAAGGGAGGGTGAGGGAGCAGCCCAGTGGTGTCAGTGGTGCAGGCCAGTGCAGGCTACATCACATTCTCTTCTCATCTCTGTATCCCAGGGAGGTGGGAAACAGCCCCTCCATGACCATTTTCTAGTTTGCATTTGTCAGAGAGCTCCATGTCCTTGCCAACAGTGGTAAAGGCCTCTTTTCTCTTTTCCTCTTTTTCCCACAACCTGACAAGGTCCTGCTTTTTGCCTAATAAATGTGCCATAAATATTTTAATGCCTTATTTCTCAGAGTTGCACTTGAGGCCAAGGACAAACACAGCATGATCAGGGGAGTTCTGCTCCCTGTAAGCTTAGCTAATGACCCTGGGGGTGATGAGGCAGAAGACCTGTCTCCTGAAGAGACTGGACTTGTTAGCTTGTTATCAGTTATTCCTCTTTGTGCCCTTCCTCATGTAAAATTTAGGAGATGAATTGTTCTTTCATTGCACTCGTGATTGCCTGGGTACAGAGATGGCACCACAGAAATGCCCATAAGGCTTGCAGTGAAATAGAGTTTCAGGAATTAAACCTAACATGAAAAATGGGCTGCAAAGAGAGGAGTTGTCAGAGCAGGAATCTGCCTAATTGCTGCAGACTCCATGGGCAGCAATAATGCATGAGCTAAAGAGGAATCCCTGCTCTGAGAGCCCCCTGGGAAGGCTTTTCCTGGTGATTCCAATATGTTCATTAATTGCCTTTAAGATAACGAGCAGGTGCACTATTAAAGCCTCTGGGTTTCATTCAGTGCTTGGCAGAGGCAGAAAGTGTGGGAGGAGGTGGGGGGGCAGATGTGGAGGATGCACTCAGGTGTTGCTGTGTGCACATAGGTCATTGTCACCCAGCTGCCCAGCCCAGCCCAGCCTTCTCCTTGCCCAGAACGATGAGCTGCTGATGTGCTGGAGAGCTGCAGCCTGTGGGCTTGCTGGGTGGGACAGCACAAACACTTTCAGGTACCTTGAGCCCCAGAAAATGGGAGCTACAGCCATTGGGTTCCTGGGGTTTGTAGTGAGGCCGTGGCATGGGAGCCTTCCCTGGGAAAAAAAAGACAGGACAAGGGTTAGGAAAGCTGATCTTTGCAAGACTGGTGCAAACAGCAAGGAGTGATAGGCACTGCCCTTTGGTCTGCATCCCCAAACACTGCTGCTTACACTGCTGGCTCAGCAAGGGGGTTTCCTTCTGCCCTCAGTTCATTCCTGGACTGTTGGTGTGCTGTGGGTGTCCCCAAACTGTGCCGGACCTTGCATGTCTGATCTTGCTCTGCACAGGTCTGGGTCCATTCTCTGCCCGTGGTGATGCACTGCCATGTTTTGCAAATCATTTCTGTTCCTTTAATCTCTGCACCTTCCTCACTCTGCTTCTTAATATGCACAAAGGAGCAAGAACTCCCTCTGTGGATAATTATTTACCCAATGCAGGAGGAGTCCAGCTCACAGCCAGCTCTAGCAGTACCTTCCAGCAGCATTTAATCTCATTTTTGTAGGGCAGCCTGTTCAGTGCCCAACCACCCTCTGGAGGAAAAACCCTTTCCTGATATCCAGCCTAACCCTGCCCTGACAGAGCTCCAGCCATTCCCTGGTGCTGTCCCTGCTCTGGGAAAACACAAACTGTGGGAATGCTCCAACAAAAACTCGTGTGAGCTGGGACTTGAAGCCAGTCACATCAAGGGTTAACTTTCTGCTTCCCTGAGCAGGGCTAGAGAATTTATACAGACATAAAATGGATCTAATTCAGCCCTTCAAGGCAGGGTTGGGTTCTTTTAAACTCCATTTCCACTTCTTGCTTCTTGTCAGCACCAGGAATTATTTAAGACACTTTCCCCATTTTTCTGTTCAGGTACCTGAAATGCCAGTGGTTAATTCAGCCATAAATCTGTGGCTGAATTAAATAAATCTGCTGTGCCCTTGGGAAGGCCTTGCAGCCAAAAGCCTCAGGGGGACTCATGTGGGAGTGTTCCCAGCACCTCTCAATTAAACTTTGCCAGAGCTGTTTTGCTTAAATAACAGATTTGCTACAAATAAATAACAAACTGAAATGCTGTCCAGCTGGGAGATGATAACAGGCAATTTTCCCCTTCCAGAAGAGCCTTGATGGTTTTTTGGAAGGGGGTGAGAACTGGGACTCAGAATTCAAATGTTCCTGAACTGATGCAGGAGGCAGAGGAAAGTTCAAAATCCGCTGTTTTGCAGAATGGACTCAAATTTGAGTGTCTTGCTTGTAATATTGGTTGTAAAAATAATGTAAAAAATGGAAAATAATGTAAAAATAATATAAGAAATAATTGGTTGCAAAAAACAGGAACAGTGTGCTGTTCCTGCAGAACACTGACAGTGAATGGGATAAGATGGCAAGTCTGAGTAGGAGTGAGACTTTTTGGGATGTGGAGATCAAAGAATGGCTTGGCTTGGATGGGACCTTTAAGATCATCCAGTTATCCAGTTCTACCTGCATTATCCAGTTCCCAGCCAAAAATAGCTGTGTTTCCAGAGCTTCAATTCAGCTGAAGTCACAGCTATTGTAATAGAAATATTATAATAGCTTCTAGAAAGCTGTCCTGAGGAAAAAAACCCTCACATAAATAAGGATTGTGCTGATCTACAAAACATCAAACTGCCTTCAGGATAAGCCCTTGTAGGAAACCTGTCCGCTCCCCTCTGCAAAACAGAGCTTTAAAACTTATAAAGTGCCCCTTTGTACTCTTTCTCAGCTAGGTCAAGTCCAAGGCTCCACAATTAACCTCTCTCCCACATCTTGTTTTGTAGGTAACAGGAAAGCAAAAGCAGGACAGGAATATCAGGCACTCCTGCCTCTCTACAAGCACTGACTCAGTGCTCCTGTTATCATTTATTGCTTGCCCATCCTTACAGACAAGAAGACAGATTTCAGGCCACTGCCTTGTTGGCACAGCCCCAGAACTGAAGTTGAGTTTCCCTGGTGCATTTTAATGCCCCCAGGCTGCTGTTGCTGTTCCAAGAGGCTGGAAAGCAGCCAGCTGGCTGGAGCAGCTGCTGGCAATGCAGGGGGTTCAGGCACTGCAGTGCTGGGACACTGGCAGGGGGAGCTGAGTGTATTTTTGGGTGAATGGATGGTCTCAGGGCTCCTTGCACTGCTGGGTGGTCCATTGTTGTTTGTGTGCCCCAGGCAGACAGGCAGGCTTTGGGCAGAGGTGCCTGCACAAACCCATCCCTTTGGAGAGAACAGAGGTGCCTGCACACATCCATCCCTTTGGAGAGGGCAGAGGTGCCTGCACACATCCATCCCTGTTGGACAGGGCCTGGCTTTTTCTTTTCCCACAGCTTGGAGGTGCCCCCTCCTCTGAAGCCCTTCAGGACCAAGTGCTGAGCAGGGCACTGACGTCTTGCCTGGCCAGGAGGAAGCTACAAGGGCTTCAGTCCCAGCTCAGCCTCTTTGTTTTCCCTGAGATGCCCAGTGAGGCTTTGTAAGCAGGAGGAGATTTGCCAGAAAATGCTAGTGTAACCCTAATGTCCTGATTTAAGGGAGCCATCCATCAAGTTGGTTGTTTTCAGACCTCAGTAGCTGCTGAAAAATCAGGGGAGTCTTACAGCTGGAGCAGCCACGTGCTCAACTGGAGATGGATGTGGCAATCACAGGTGAGTCCTGACCTTTACTGTGGCAAAATGAGCTATTTTTGGTATCTCTTGGCTGAAATGAAAGTAAGTAGAAGGAATAATTTTTGTTTCATGGCAGGGGAGAAAAAGCAATCAGGCCCTGATTCAGCACAAAGATGGTTTGTGTTCGTCCCTCTGAGCAAGGACTGGATCTCACTGGCTTGGGGGCATCCCAGCATCCCCTCCTCTCCAGTTTGCAATGTCTGTGCCAGAGATGAGCAAGGACAAATGGTCCTGGAAGGGTCCAGCAAGCCCCTTGGAGCCACTGGGCAGCATTTCAGCAGTGATTAATGGGCTCTTCAGCAGAGGGTGAGAACTGGGCTAGCGATGTTTTAGTTCTCCTTTCTAGGTAAACTGTTTCTGTAAGATGCAGGGAGCTCCTGGGGTGTGAGCAGGGATCTGTGCTGCTCTCTGGGGATGCTTTGCACAAGGACAGGCAGGGAGAGCCCTCTGGATGTGTCCCAAAGCCGTAACTCCTGCAGGATGTGCTGAGTCCTGAGGCTCCCTGAAAGCAGCTCTGAATACCAGCATTGCCTCAGGCACACTGCAGCCCCAGCCACTGCCTGGAGGTTCAGTCTCTACACTAAGGAGGGCAAGGCCCTTTCTGCTCTGAGTTTGGAGCATGGTGGGGACCTTCAGGAGGCTGTCACACACATGAGTGTGGGACAGGCTGCCTGGGGGGCTCATCCTGGCTGTTGGGGGGCTGGGGGTCACCTCCTCCAGGCACTGGGGACACACATGGTCCTCCTGAGCTGCTGCAGAGAGAACTGAGGGACCCCCAGGCTGAGGGAGCAGGGCCCCTGTGGGGCTGTGGTGATGGGCTGGGGTACCTGGCTCCCTCCATCCCCTGGGGCTGGGGCACCTGGCTTGCTGCTCCCTGTTTGTTCCCAGTGTGGGGCCTGGGAGCAGAGCTGGCAAGAGGGGCAGGACACATATATACACATTGGATGGATGTTGGGGAGAGGTTTTTCACCCAGAGAGAGGGTGGTTGAGCACTGGAAGCACTTCCAGGCTCATCAGAGAAGTGGTCCCATGGCTACCAGAGCTCCAGGAGTGTCTGGACATTTTCAGGCACAGGGTGTGACTCCTGGGGTGTCCTGCACAGGGCCAGGAGTTGGACTCAGTGATCCTGGTGAGTCCCTTCCAACTCAGCCTGTTCTATGGTTCTGTGTCATTGTTTATGAAACAAAACAAAACCCAGCAACTTTCAAACTGATTTAACCTCCTCCCCTGGCAGGGAGCTGAGGTCCCAGCCCTGCAGCATCTCTTTGTCCCAGTGCCCTGGCTGCTGGCCTGGGAGGAGGAGGAGGTCCATGGGATCCACACAGACTAAGACAGAGTCAGTGGGGTCTCCGCAGAGCATTGAGTCTGTCTGTGAAAAACAGTGCCCTGGGGAGGAGAAGGGCTGAAATCCCTCTGTGCTCACGAGCATCTTTCCCAGGTGGTCACTGGGGTGTGGGGTGACGCTGTGGGGCAAGGGACTGACAGGCAGCTGGGGCTGGGCAGGCTGAGGTGGCAGGATAAGGGGCTGCTGTAAGACAGGTGTAGGAGGCTGAGAAAAGGATGCAGTCTGTGGGAAAACTCCTGGCTGGTTCCTAAGCATGTCCTTCCCACAGGTGCCCTGGTGATGGCCCTGTCACCCCACAGGCTGCAGCTCTGTGCACCCCAGCTCTGTCCCCTGCCCTGCCCTCCCCCTGGGGGCCGTCATCCTGCCCCCAGGACAAACCAAACTAATCCTTTCTGGTAAACCACCAAAAAGTGCAGTCCAAAGCAAGCAGGATCTGCCTCCTCCTGCCTCGGGCACTAAAGGCTGCTCCCGGTGACGATGACGTGTGCTTTGTCCCGCCGTTATCTCCTGCAGCCCGCAGCACTGGCCAGCTCACAGGTGCGGGATAAGGACGCTCTGAAGGTTGCTGAGGTTAGGGCGGCTGGCTCAGCCTCCCCTCCCTGGCTGTGCCAGGCTCCGGGCAGCGGGACAGCCCGGGTACTGTGTGTGCCCTGATACCTGTGTGTGTGCCCGGGTACTGTGTGTGCCCTGATACCTGTGTGTGTGCCCTGGCACCTGTGTGTGTGCCCTGCCAGCCCGGATACCTGTGTGTGCCCTGTGTGCCCTGGTACCTGTGTGCCCTCTGCCTCCCCCCCGGTGTCCTGCGCGCCCATGGCGGTGCCTTGCAGAGCTGGCTGCTCTCGGGGAAGGGGGTTCGCTGTGCCTGTGCTGGCCCTGGCACAGAAGCTGTGACCCAGAGCACTGCCGGGGGCAGCTCCTGGGTAGGAGGAGCCGCTCGTGGCCGCAGGGAAGGAGAGGGAAAGAGGAGAAAGGGCGAGGAGACAGGAGGCAGCAGCGGTGCGGTTCACTCACCATATCGGCAGCGGTACTGACAGACTCCGTTTTTCCCCCCGAGCAGTTCCAGGAAGGAGTCGAAGTAGCTGTTGACCGCTTCGAAGCCATCGCGGATGGTGTCGATGCCCCAGTCGGAATAGGATGCCGCCGCCTGCGGGTCCTGGTGCCCGGGGCTGTCGGGCGCTGCCTCCTCGGAGCCGTGGCCCGGGCTCAGGCCGAGGCACAGGAGCGCTGCCCCCAGCAGCAGCCGCATGTCGGGGCCGGTGAGCCCCAGCCCCGGGCGGGCAGAGGGGCAGCAGCCGCGGGATGAGCGGCTCCGGGCAGGAGGCAGCGGCACCGCTCTGCTGGACTTTAATCCTGCCCGGGGAGCCGGTCTGAGGTCACGGCAGCCGGGGTGCAAAGTGCAGCGCCGAGATACGGAGCGGGTTCAGCTCCCTGAGCTGGGGGTTTGCACAATCCCGCCGGGACACGCACATTATCCATGGCTGCAGCTCCCCGGGGGGACCCTCCCTCAGCCCAGAGCGGGGTCTGTCCCCCCAGGGCGCTGCACTCCCTCCCCGGCCTGCTGGGACATGGGGATATCTCTCTGTCCGAGATCTCTGCTGCTCAGGCAGGCTGAGGAGCAGCCCTTGCCTTTTCCCCGGGCCTCCTGGGCACACAGCGGGGAGGGATGAGAGCTGCACCCAGCCTGGCCGCTGGGCGTGTTGCTCCCAGCAAATCCCAAGGGCCCACGGAGCCTCCGAGGGGTTGATCCAGCTGCTTGGAGAAGTTTGGGACAAACACTACGTTCAGGGCATTCCTTGGCATCACCTCAGTTCCAGGATCAGTGTGGCAGGTGAGTACTGCCTTTGATGTTACAGGGCTGGTTGTTACCGCTCCTGTGTAAGGTAAATTAAACCAGTAAAGGTTGTGACCAGGAGGAAAGGGTGGCACTGAGACCTGAGCCAGGGAATGGCTGTGGGGCAGCTGCAGCTCCTGGCTCTGGGGTGGGACAGCCCTGCCAGGACCCAGGGGCCTGCTCAGCTGGTGGAGGGTTCAAAGCTGCTCATTAAAAAAAAAAGCAACCAAATGAACAAAACCAGCAAAAGACAAAGCAAACCACTCACAAAGAATAGAGAAGGGAAATGGTATGGGAAGGTTCTGGCTGCTCTTAGAAAGCTATTCAGATGTGCCCCAGCACAGGACTGCCTCTCAGAAGGAGCTGGGCTGCAGGCATTTCAAACACAAATGCAAATTCTGGCATTTTATTGTTTTGCAGGAGGTTCAGCCTTGCTGCATTGCTGATTCTGAAGGGCCAGTGCTCCATGGCACTGCCTGTGTCTCTGCACATGGCCCTGGGTGATGAGCTCCAGACACGGGATAAGGAGGAGGAGCCACAGCCAAGTCTTGATTTCTCAGACAGGTAAGTCAGAGAAGTGGGGAAGGGAGCACACAAGCTGGTTAGTGCCTCTGCTGTGCAATGGTGTGGAGCCAGAGGCAGTTGCTGCCTGCTTGTCCCACCTGTTCTGAGCCCCAAGGCTGCCAGGGCTGATTTTGGGTGAGGGGCATTTAGGAGTGCAGAGCTCCCAGGGGAACCTCAGACCAGCTTTGCCTTTGGGGAGGTAAACCCAGATGCAGAGAACACTGGGAAAGGGCAGCTGGGAATCAGCAAATACCTGCCTCGAGTAAGCCTTTTGTGACATCTGTGTCACCCCTGGCACGTGGCAGAGGGGGTGCTGGGGAAGTGAGGCCTTCCCTGCGGGGGCACTGGAGGGCTTGGGCTGCTCCTGCTGTTCAGACCATGCTGGGGACTGCTCTGTCAGTCGTGGGTGCAAATGGCCCCTGGAATTTGTTGTCACAGCCCCAGGGCAGGGCACACTGGATCCAAGAGTCCCAGGCTGTGTCCGCAGTGAGTGGAGCCTTTGGCGTCTGTGCTGGTTCAGTCCCTGCCCTGCCTGACACTCCAGTTCACAGTCCCACTGCTCCCAGCCTTTGCCCACAGCCTGGCAGAAATTAATGTAAAAAGGAGCAAACCAGCTGTTGGGAACTAGCTTGGAAATGTGTAAGAGCCTCTGGGTGTCTGTGCCTGGTGTCCTGCTTTTATGCAGAGCCTTTTAGGGTTGTTCTGGAGGCAGTTCCAGAACACAGCTTTCTTTGTCATCCCTCGGTCCCTGCTGACTGATCCATGTGCTGCTGAAGGCGAAGAGAGAGGGAAAAATGCTGGCAGAACTGCAGAGGAGGCAAAGCACAGGGAATGTGGCATGAGCAGGGCATGCAGCCTGGAGCTGGTGGCTCTTGAGCACCCAGGCTGCTTGCAAAATCAGTTGGAATTGGGAAAGCTGAGCAGGGCGGAGAGGGAACAGCTGGCAGAGGGCAGAGCCTGAGTAAAGAGTCAGAAACTTTCCTGTTAGTCACTGGTCCTGAAGCAAAGGTTGATGAGTAAAAAGCACTTTAACTGCTTTTCCAAAACGTGGCAGCCCCTTTGCCCTGCCCCGGGGATGAGCCACTCTCCCTCCTTCTGCTTCCTTCCTTCCCTCCCCGAGCCAATCTCCTGAGAGCTTTTCAGTCCAGCTGCGAATATCTCGGTTGCACCCCGACTGCAAGATCTGAAGAGCAGGAAAAATGTAGGATTGGGTAAAAGTGACCTCCAGTGCTTCCTCGGGGCGTGGCTCAGCAGCTGCAGCAGCGAGGAGCTGTGGATGAGCACAGTGGGACCCCGCCGGTTCTCTGCCCTGCCTTGGACCCACTGCAGTCACAAAAACCCCTTCCCAGCGCCAGCTTTTCTCTCTCTGAAGATTTACGGGGCGCAGATGCTTTTGGCCACGGTGGTGAACTCTGACAGCTGCTTCCTGAGCCTGGTGCTGACCTCGGGGCAGGCAGCTCCTGCCTGCGTGCATTCATTCCTGCCTCCGTAATGCTCAAATATAGCGCGGCCGGGCCGCGGTGAGTCAGCGCTCCCGGGAGGGACCCTGCGGGCTCCCGGCAGCGCTCCCGGGACACTGCGAGGGAGAGGAGACTGCGCCCGCCCTGTCCCCGTGTCCCTGTGGCAGTGAGCCCCATCCCAGGTGCAGCTGGAAAAGCCCTCTTGGCTCCGCATTAGGAGCCGAGCTGCAGCTCCTGTGCTGCAGCTCCTGTGCTGCATTCCTCCTTCCCAGCACGTCTGGCTGTGCCAGGCTCCTGCCCGTGCCACTCTGCTGGGGGCACATGGGATAGAGGGACCGAGCTCCTTTTCCACCGGGAGCTGCTGGTGGGTGTTTAGCAGGGGAAAGAGCAGCTGGTGGCTCAGGTTAGTGGCTGATCGTGGCCGCTCCAAAGCCCAGATGAGTCACTGATGACGGGAGGAGAGCTGCGGGCCGAAGGTGAAATCCCCGAGTGCCCGGAGCCGGGTCAGAGTCCGGCAGCCCGAAGAGGGTGGGTGCGTGGTTCGAGACCCCCTCCCGAGCGGGGCCGAACTCGGGTGTGTGGGCAGGTCCCTGGTGCTGCTTTCCCCCAGCTACAGGGAGGGTTCTGCCCCTGGGCTNTCCCCGAGTGCCCGGAGCCGGGTCAGAGTCCGGCAGCCCGAAGAGGGTGGGTGCGTGGTTCGAGACCCCCTCCCGAGCGGGGCCGAACTCGGGTGGCTGGGCAGGTCCCTGGTGCTGCCTTCCCCCAGCTGCAGGGAGGGTTCTGCCCCTGGGCTTAGGTGAGACCCCACCTGCAGAACTGCCCCAGCGCAGGAGGGACCTGGAGCTGCTGCAGAGCCCAGGGGAGGCACCAGCATGGGCAGAGGGATGGAGCAGCTCTGCTGGGAGAGATGGGATTGTTCAGCCTGGAAAAGAGAAAACCGTGGAGATCTCAGGGCCCCTTCCAGTGCCTAAAGGGGCTCCAGGAGAGCTGGAGAGGGGCTGGAGTGACAGGACAAGGGAGAAGGGCATCAAACTGCCAGAGGGCAGAGATAGATGGGGACATTGGGAAAAAATTCTGCATTGAGGGTGGTGAGGCCCTGAGGAGGCTGCCCAGAAAAACTGTGCCCCTTGTCCCTGGAACTGTCCAAGGCCAGGTTAGACAAGGCCTGGGATAGTGGAAGGCATCCCTCCCAGTGGCAGGGATTGGAATCAGATGAGTTTTATGTACCTTCCAACCCAAACCATTCTGGGATTCTATGATCCTGTCACACCCTTTCCCTTCTCTTCATCTTGTCCTGCCCTGTGACACTGACAGGCCTTACTCCCCATCTCTGACCTTACCCTGCCTGTTCAGCTGCAGCTGCTGGGCTCCTCCCATGCTGGTGACCCCATGGTCACCCTTCAGCTGCAGCTGTGCCACAAGAGCCCCAGGGCCCCAGCTGGGATGGTGGGAAGTCACTGGCTGGGGTGGGACAGGGCTGATCCAGAGCCTTCTCTTCCTCCAGGCCTGTCCTGGCAGGGGCAGGGCAGCAGCTTAGGGTGGCTGGGCATGGAGCCCCATCACCCTTCCAAAATCAAACAGTGCTGCTGCTCTTCAGGCTTATTGCAAGTGTGTGCTCACATCAGCTGTGCTGGGGCAGTGCCCTCCCTACCTGCAAGCCAAGAGCTCCATGGGCAGCACACAGCTCCATCCCACAGGAAAAGGATCCAGGGCTCTCAGCAGTCCCTGCTGTGCTTTTTGCAGGTTCCTGATGATGGGAATGAAGCACAAGCTCCACTGCTCTGCAGGGTGAAGCCCAGGGATGGCTGTGCTGTACAGACCCCAGAGGCTTAGGTCATGAAGAGGCCAGCCTGACCCTCCCACATGTGAGTTCATTGTGTCGTTGGAGTCTGTGGTGCTTTCTTCCCCTCCCTAGAACCATTCCAGGGTAAGTGGTTGTTTGACGTTCTGGCATCACAAAATAGATTTGCCACCCCTCAGCAGGTGACTCTGCTTTCAGCCCAGCTTTATCTGCCCTGCCCTCTTGCAGCCCTTTAGTGCTGTGTGTTCCCAGTGGAGACACAAAGTTTAGTGTAGAACAGGAATTTGGGGTAGGAGCAGCTCCTGCACCTGCCCAGTGGGATGGTGAAGGGAAATAGAGGAGCTTGGTTTTCACAAATGGTGATAAAACTCTGTGTGATCACATTTTTGGCAGCCACATAGGAGGACAGTTGGATGTGGAGGATTTCTCACTGCTAATGGCAGTGGCTTTTATTTTAAGCCTGTTCACTTTTTTTTTTAACATTAAAAATTTTATTACAAAAAAATGTAACAGTAAGGCAGTTGTCAGTCACTGTGAGCCCAGACAGTTTTCAATCATGTTTAATACAAAACTAGATTCACACAGGAGCCACACTGGGGATCCAAAAGCCCTCTGAGAAATGGTGGGATAAGGCAGAAGCAGCAGCACCAGTGTAATCCTTTACACAGTCAGCGTTGGAGGCATGGACACCACTGCAGTGGAGGGAGAGGAAATAGAGATTGTCTGCAGTTTAAAAATCTAAGCCAACCCTGTTGTCACAATCTGGAACATTCCTGATGTGTCCCAGCAGACTGGAGATTTAATTTTGAGAGGTTATTTTTTTTCTTTAACCAAGTAAAATTTTCTACTGTCAAAAGTAGAAAATTCTTTCCTGAAGAATTATCTGTGAGTGATTTACTGCTTTAAAAGTCGTGCAGCAGAACATTTGTACTCCCCAAGCAGTGCCTGAGACTGATGCTGTTTAACACTGGAGTACTCACTGGTACTGAGGTGAGGGAGGGAACTGCTGAGCAAAATTCTCCAATTCTGGTTTTTTTCATGCTTTGGTGACTGTTGAACAGAGATGGGACAGCAAGAGCAAACCAGGTGTTTTCCACACCAGTTCCTGATGGCAATACAGGAATTTTGTTTTGTGCTCCTTTACTAGGTAGAACTGGCCTCTCTACAAGCATTTCTGGATGCCCCGAAGGCAGAATTCCCAACTGCTCCCCTTGTTCATTGTCCCCCTTCACCTGCAGGGATGTGGTGGGAGGTACCTGCAGCCATGGTTACCTTTTTGGAGCTTAACAAAATAAGAGATGGGAAAGAGAAAAGAGAGAACCATGGGTAGGAAGAGAGACAGATAAAACAGTGAGAAAACTCAGGTAGGCACAAATCTTATGGGTTTGGGGTTTTTTAAATTATTACAATTTGGTGCTCAAAGATTAGCTCTGCTAAAGCAGTTCTGGGGTGAATTTATTTAGATCAGCTCCTGCTCTTGGTGAATGAGCAGTGCAGATGTGAGGTGGGACTGTGCAGACTTTGTGTTCTCACTTTATGGATGGACCTTGTTTTCCAGCTGCCAAAAGCCAGGCAAAGTTCAGGAAGGTGCAGGGCTAAGGAGGGGCAGATCTGTGGGTCCCACTGCTACCAGGCTCAGTAGAAATTTAACAAATATTTTCCAGCAAAGACCTTTTAAAGTGTCTTCTGAAAGTATGCAGTTCCTCCAGCTGTAGTACCTTAAACTGCATTCCCAGTAATCCAGAGGTATTTCTAGCACATTTAACAATAGATTTTGTATGTTTTGGCTCAACTGTCAAGATTTTATTGAGGCAGAAAATCCAATTAACCAAAATTGGAATTTTTCCCTTGGTAAAGACTTCAGGCCTGACCCCTAAATCAGTAAAATCATCATCATCCAGAAAATTGGACTGTTTAGGTAAAGGCAGGTGCAGCTTCCTTTGATTTCTGTCCTCATGCTAGTGAGATATTTGGATATTTTGCTGAAAATCCTCCTGTGGAAGGGAAAGGGTTCAGGAAAGTGAGCCTGCAGCTAAAAAAGGTTCAGGACTATAAATAGGCTGAGGGTTTCTCCTGAAACCTTGAGAGCTGGGAGGAAGACAAGGGCAGGGAGCATTCTGTGAGGACTCTGTGTTACCTCAGCACCTGAAGTCTCAGAACCAATTTGAAATTCCAGTGTCCTAAGGCACGACAATTTTGATTAATGAAGGTGGGAACATCCCCAACCCACTGCCCAAGGAGCAGAGGGAAGAGCTGGCTGCCAGGACAGAACAAAAGCAGCATTTGTTCTTGTGGACAAACATTGCAGAAGAGGAGGGGAGATGGGCTGTGGGTGTTCCGAGGCTGCTCTGACACTAGGGAAGCATCCTGACTATGCCTGTGGAACTGCTGGCTCATGTGGTCAAGATTCAGAGCCAAATTCTCCACATAGGCTGAGAAGGAAGACAAGTTTAAAAAGTGGGGCTTTTGTGGAAGTGGAAAACCAGACTAGAACATGCTAATAAGCCTGTTTTCCAGCAAAGTAAGCCTGCAGTGGTCAGGCACTCTAGGAAAGCAAAGAGTCAAGTGTGTGGGACTTGAGGAATAGCAAAGGGTTTCATTCAGCATTCCTTAGAAGGGAGCCCTCCCAGGCAATGATCCTGCCCTAAGCCTGTCAGGTGGACTCCAGACAACCCCTGGCTGCGCACACTGCTCAGAGGGATGATGGTGACAGGAACACCACACACAACACCACTGTAAGTTGTGGCCCTCATCTGTATTTATCTGTATTTTGTCCTTTTTTTTTTTTGTTTCAGTAACACTTGTCAGCCTCGGTATTTTCTGTTGATAAACCTTGGGGGGGATTTAGAGGGAACCAAAAGTACGTTTGTCCTGTCTGCAGCTGAGCTGGGCGGGGTGAACCTGTAGTGGAGTGTTTGTTAGTCAGTTGTAAACTGGCAGGAGTGTGCAGCTGCACCCCTGAGTGCTGGGAGCCCAGGCTGCCTCATTCCAGCTCCGATAACGTGCACGGCCGGCGGAACTCCTGCCCCCGCTCGTGGAGCCACTTATTGGAGACTGCAAAGACACAAAGGCACTGCATCACTGCACTGCTCAGCTCCTTCTCTGCTGAACTAAACGTGCTCTAGGCCAGCTTCTGGTTAAGCACAGGGTTATCTTAATTTTCTAGAGGGTTTTAATCACAGAACAGCTTGGGTTGGAAGGGGCCTTAAAAGACTCTCTCATTCCAACCCCACTGCCATGCACAGATCTGTGAAGTTAGTCTAATAAAATTAATCAACCAACCAAAAACCCTTCCAGTATAGCTGCAAAGCTACAAAACTCTTAAAGTAGACATAGCTACGAAAACTCAAAGTAGACATAGCTACAAAAACTCTTAAAGTAGATATAGTATTAATTTCCTTTATACATGTAATGAAATATGCTACTATATAGCATATATTTAACATATAGAGAGATATGAGGTAGATAATGTAAATTAAATATAAATATTTCTTTACAAAGAATGTAATTTCTGAAGTCTAAAGGAAAAAATAAAGCCAAGCCACCCCCCAGCAGAGCCCAGACTCAGGTCAGAGGCAGGTACTCACCCCATTTATTCCCCACTAGCACCGGGCAGGCTGCGTGCCGCGTGCTGTAATCGCCTTCTCCACTCGGGAAGAGATTGTACCAGAACACAGCTGTACCCTGGGAATGGCAGGGACACTCAGCCCTGTGCTCTGCATCACACAATCACACACCAGAGATTGTACCAGAGCACAGCTGTACCCTGGGAATGGCAGGGACACTCAGCCCTGTGCTCTGTACCACACACACTAAGGCAAAGGTAAGTGCATTTGTGTTTCAGAGCCTCCTTTTAAACTGAAGGCTCTTTTCCATATTCTTATTCTTAAGAAAAAGTCTCCTTTGACTTACTGTATATTTGTATACTTGGCTTTTCGTTTTTTCTTTTAAATCCTAAACCAGTTTCATTCCTGACCAGTTTAAGAAAGCCAAGATTATTTACTAAAGCCAAGCAGCAGGCCAGCAAAGGCAAACCTTGGTTGAAGGAAAAAACTGACAGGAGAATTTCCTACTGATGCCTCAAGACTAAGTCAACTCACAGGTTTGAGTATTTTCAAGATGTGTTTTGGAGTATTTAAGTGTTTTGCATTTGTATCCACACATGGAATATCAGGGACCTTTGAATCACCAGCACAGCTCCAGTTGCTGCACTTATGGAAAAATCACAGCACTGTTCTGACAGCAGAGAGGTGCTAACAGTTATTTTAAAGGTTCATTTTCAAGCTCTGCTCTGTGTGGGTAGTGGGGAGGAGTGGATTTATCTGCTGGATGAATCCTGCTCACCTTTCTCGGCCAAACGCTGGCTCCCACTTCAGGGAAGACCGTGGCTCCCCCTGCTGACACATCACTCATCTGAACAGGTGGGGAAGGACAGGTGAGTTCAGGCTGATAAAATCTCACTTTTTAGTGAAAGTGAAGTTTAATTTTGACATAAATCCCTTAAGAAGGCCAAACCCCCTCTGTTCCCAGTGCAGTCCCAGCCTTGTCCCTCCCACTCGAGTGTTAAGGCAATGAACATGCTGTAAACACTGATGCAGGTACAAAAACAAGGCAAATAACTTAAGCTAATGCTCAAATTTGGGGGGAAAATCCTCCTTAAGACAATGGAAGAACCACAAAGTCTGGGTAAGAGGACCCCCCCCATATGTACTACCCCAAAGTTAGAGGCTGCTTCACTTGCAAGTCCCTTCAGTAAAACAAAATGAAAGAAAAGCAGAATGAAATCATTCCATGGTACAGAATATACAGTGACAGATGGCAGAAATGTATCACTTACATAAAACAACCAAGTAGCAATTCTGTTGCCTGTTCCCAATTCTTTAAAGGCATCTGGCTCATCTTTCTGTGAACAAAAGCAGGCAGATTCCATCAGCATTTCTTTTTGGTTGCTGAGAGCAGCCAATGACACACAGCTGCTGAGCCAGCAGCACAGAACAGACTCATGCAGAAGAATTAATCCAACCCCTCAATTTGGAAGGAGGGGAGGAATGCAACAGGAGTGAATCTATCAATTTAAATAAACCAGGCACTTTGAAATTCTGTAGGACAGGGAGGGAGGGCATTAA